GAAAATATTTACAATGATTTACTCTTTTGGTCTCTTAATTGTAAATCCATTTAGTGATTTATAAAATCGAGTAGTTATTGTTATTTTTTTAATATAGATTTTTTACTTCTTTTTTCTTTACAATCACATATTTTGAACTTTATTTATTTATTATTAAAAAAATGATCCTTTTGATAAGTCTTCATCAACAAAAATGATATGCAATGTGCTGCGAAAGTTTAATTTAAATTAAAATTTCAAAAAAAAAAAATAGTTTTCGATAAATTTTAAATGTTGAACTTTAATTATATATTCTCGATCAATTTTTTATTTATTTATTTATTTTTGTAGAAGTTTGAAGATGATACGGAGTATAATTTTTTTTTTAAAAAAAACTTGATAATCACATATCGGCATTTATATTTACAGTAAATACATTTTCATATGAAATGAACGTTTCGACTTAAATTACAAGCTCGTTATTTAACATTTAAAATTTGACCTTCCTAAGTGAAATTCTCAGATTCGTCACTAGTTCAAAGAGTCCATTATGTATGTAAATTCTCCATTTTAATATGTCCATGCTTTATCTTGTTTTTCGTATCAGTTGACATTTCGATTGCACTTTATTAAATATTATGTTTAATATATTCTTCCTTTCCAAAGAAAACATAAAAGTACTTGTAGTCTTGGCTAGGAGCCCAACAACTAGAGAGCTCACATCACATGATTTGTCATCCCCCAAAAATCCATCACCCACCCTAATTTTGCTTCCCTCACTCCTCTCATTTTCCGCCTAATAAACATTTTTTCCCTTTATTACTTTATTTTTTTTCGCTTTCAAAATACATACTAATACAGCATACGGTATTTGTTAAAAAATTATTATTAAATTTTAAAATTAATGAGAAAACTATAAAAATTTAGTTTACTTTTTTACAAAAAAAATATATTACTTTATATTTTAGAATGATATGTGTTACTTATGATTTACATGTGTTATATTATATTAATTTTTATAACTTATATCATATAACTACTTGAAATATAAATATATTAGTTGATAAATAATTTTATTTTGCTAATTAATATAAAAAATAATTTTATTATTGTTATAAAAATAAATATAAATTATTTTTTTATACATACAATATGGATGTTAAATCGAAACTCATCAAAAGAAGATTAATTTGATATTTTACATATGTAAAACTGATAAAAAATACAAAAGTTATTTACTTTTAAATTATATATACAATTCAATAGTTACAATAAGGAATAATATTAAAATGCAATTAATACATGTAACATGACCATAAATAATCAACATATTTATGGTAATCAGAAACCTAAAATTTTTAGTTTGGAATTAAACCCAAGCCTAATAACAAGACATGTAATTTTGCCACATATGATTCTGAAGCACCAGAAGCAGCCGCGTAGGCTCAGCGCGTTCTAGATTAATATATAGGGGGGACGGGCAGGGGCGAAACCATGTACATGGTTGGAGAGGCGCGGGCTCCTCAAAATAAAAAAAAAAAATTTAAACTAGGGGTAGAAGATTTTGTTGGAACTGAAAGATTTTCCTTTGAGCGCATGTTGGGCCCTCCCCGGTTTCATGCGGTACATACATGGCCGGAGGGGCGCCACCGGTTTTGTCGTGAAAATTATTTTTAAAGGGAAATTGGACCCTCTCCGAAACGGGATCCTGGTTTCGAGACAAGGAGAACTATAACAGCAGCAGAATTTAATAATATTTTCATTTTTATTATATTTTGAGTTGGTTAATTAGCCGACTTGCGGTGTACCGACGGGATTAAAAAATCGAGTCGATCATTACCGAAAAATACTTTTATGAAAGTACGGGAAGCGGAGAGTGCGTTGGTAGCATCGATTTATGATTTTGAGGTCTCGACCATTTATTTTGGGTAGCCCGAAGTTGAGAGTAAAATGGCAGAGACGGTGATTTTATGTCATTTTCATGTCTAGACTTCGGGTAACCGGCGGCCCTCGTTAGGCATGCTGGAAATTAGCGGGAGTGCTTTCTTGAAAGCACGAAAACAATAGAAGCCGTTCGTAAAATATATTTCACGTTTCGAAGTTTCGAGCATTTATTTTGAGAAGCTCCAAGTCGAATGCGCATAATAGAAGAATAAAAAGCCGTTTTGTGGGGTTCAGTAAGGTTGCGTGTGACCTCGATTTAACGAGAATCGAGTTGGAGCGTGTAGACAATTCAAGCACAATTCCATACGGACAAATTTCGCATTTTTCGGAGTTACGAGCATTTATTATGGGAGTTTGAATTTCTGCTTTAAATAGTATCAAAGGAGCAAATTTGTCGAGGACGAGTTCGATCGTTCGAGGCTTCGTTTTCTCAATTTTTTCAGCTTTTCGTCTATTCGGAAGGAGGTATAATTCTTGATTATTATAATTGAGTCCGAGATTTTTATTAGTATAAATTCGAGTATTTTTCTAGTTAAAACAATTCAGTTTAAGTATACCATTTTAATTCCGGACTTAGTTTGATTTTTAGAAAAATATCTAGAGTATTCATTTACAGTGGCGAAACCAGCCAGTCATCCCGGGGAGGGCCCAATTTGCCGCGGCGCACCACCCCCACTCCGGCATCGGAAGGGCGCTCAAAGGACTTTTGTGGACGCTCTCAAAAATTTTCGCAGAATATAAGTAAATGCTCTAGAGATTTTTCTAAAAATCAAACTAAGTCTCGAATTAAACTGGTATACTTAAAACTGAATTGTTTTAACTCGAAAAAAAATACTCGAATTTATACTAATAAAAATCTCGGATTCAATTATAATAATAATCAAGAATTATACCTCCTTTCGAATAGATGAAAAGCTGAAAAAATTGAGAAAACGAAGCCTCGAACGATCGAACTCATCCTTGACAAATTTGCTCCTTTTGGTACTATTTAACGCAGAAATTCAAACTCCCATAATAAATGCTCGGAACTCCGAAAAATGCGAAATTTGTCCGTATGGAATCGTGCTTGAATTGTCTACACGCTCCAACTCG